CCCCCCCAAACTCAACCCCCCTGCCGCGCATGTATTGTTAGTGCGCGTGTTCTGAACAGACGTCCTACGTTTGCCTCGAGTCCGGTACCAGTTGTATGTTAAGGCGCAGTACTGTGTAGCTATAATGCATGTTTTATGCTAGATATCTAGATGTGTGAACTGTAAACAGAGACAGTTATGTTTTAAGGCGCAGGACTGTGCGACTATAATAATAATAATAATAATAATAATAATAATAATAATAATAATAATATGTTAGATGTGTGAACTGTAAACAAGACAGTTGTGTGATAAGGAGCAGTGTTGTGTGACTCTACAATACATATATTGTGTTAGATGTGTGAACTGTAACCAAAGACAGTCGTGTGTATAGAAGGCAGCACTGTATGACTATATAATAATACATGTATTGTGGTAGATGTGTGAACTGTGACCAAAGACCGTCGTGTGTGTAGAAGGCAGCTCTGTGCGACTATGCCACCTATGTGCTAAATGAGTAGACTGTCACCATGTGCTAGATGAGTAGACAGGACTGTGCTAGATGAGTAGACAGGACTGTGAACTATGTGCTAGATGACTAGACTGTCACCATGAAGAAGAAGAAAGGGACCATCAAGCTAAAGGTTTCAAAGGTATACTATGAACACGCGCGCACGCGCACGCACACACACACACACACACACACACACACACACATTCATAGACACACACTCATGTACACGTAAACACACGCCCATACAAGCAAACAATTGGAATATAGTCAAACATTCAAACTCAAAACGGAACATTCATTCACACAAATATGCATAGAAATGAAGAGAGAAGCTTAGCAAGCACCGTGTTATTCCTCACATCAGTACATACAAACTCCACCCCTCTCCCCACCCCTCAAAAATACAATATTATCAAAACCAAACTACTTCTGTCTTTATTCGAACCTTAATTTGTTCACGCCAAAATTGCTTCCTGATATATTGTCCATTGATTGTATAACACGAAGTTTTGACACGTACCCCCTACGGCATGGAGGAACCTGCGCCTCCATGTAATATGACATCCACGCAGAGGACAGGACATTAAGGGCTCCCTGGGGCGGTCTCAGAACTCATTCTGGCGGTACGACAGCCGGATATTTTTTCATGGTCATGTCATCTTTGATTACACCGGAACAGCCGCCGAGAAGTCGCAGGCGGAGTGTGATGGCGCGTTGAGGCGAATACTTAATGAGCAAGATTCGATTATCAGATTATCATGGTTCATTCAATCCGGTTTTTTGTGAATTCGGGTCTTGCTAATCGCACAGACGCAGAGTTTTCGTAATGTGATTATGATCCAGGTTTGTTGGAGGCATGCACCAGAGGTCTACTAATAAGATTGCTCGAGGGACGTGGAAATCACTGCAGTTCTCGTTTTCATCGTAATGATTGAAACGGCTTTTGTTCATTTGTTGGTTGACAGGAGTTTTGTTGGCACAAAAGGAACATCTAAAAGAAAAAAAGAAAACAGGGGCGTTTCTCCGACTTCTTTTTATTTCTCTTTGCTTCACCGTTTAAAACCCCGCTTTTTTGTTGACGTGTCACCTGTTTTTTTATGTATGTTGTTGTGTTTGCTTTAATGTTTCCTTTCTCAAATGGCGTAGGTTTCTCTTCTTTGTTGCCAAAGACGTGTGTCTGTGACATCTGTTGTGTAAAAAGCTCTCTGTTTCCTTTCCCTGTTGCTCTTTTGTTTCTCGACTCTGGAAGTTAACCCATGCTTGCAGAAGGTTGGTGATGGGTGTTCTAGTGTGGTTTGCTTCTTGTTTCCTTTCAAAGTTCTGTCGTCCTTAGCTCTTTACTTTTTTTTTCTTTGTACGTTGCTCTCTATAGCAACAATTAGAACCGTTGGCTCCAATATGAATTGGTTGTGTTGCAAGTGTCGGAAAATTCTTACAAAACCTTAACTAAAGATATGCTTTCAAAATTACAGCTAATAACTCAGTCATAGACAGTGTTGTCCTTGTAATGAAATGCTAATATTTTGTCTCCGCCATAATTACCAGCTACTCTGATCAACACATGTTTTTTTCCATTTTATTTCAGAGAGCATACACGTTGATAGTCGAGTTGTGGGACAAGGACAAACACGGACCAGGTGAGTCAGCTTTTGCAAAACGTTTTGTTTTGTTTTGTTATGCTTTGTTTTATTTGAGGAACCAAGCGTTGCATTCTCTTTAGTCATTTCTGCAGCACATTGCCTCCTTTATAGAGGGCTACATCTTTCCCTGCACTAAATATTTTACGCACCTCCCTGACATAAGGTGGACTGGTTAGTACTTATTAATGTATTGAGACAATACGAAACTATTGTATTGTATATTCTTCGTGCATGATCTGTCCTATAAACTTGAATTATGATATCCTTGACCGGGTCTTACCACTTCTCTTTGCTCTCAATTTTAAAAACATCACACGCTGGCAGCCTGCCTATCATAAGTTGGCCAATAAAAGGTAAAACACCAATCTCTCCATAGTCAAGTGCAAGTGCACCCCCCCCCCCCCTTGTCTTTCATTTGGTTCCAAATAATATAGTCACATTATGGTGTGCTCCATGGTGAACCGAAACTACGCTAGAAGGAGGGAAAGGTTTTGGATATCAGAATACACGTGTTTGGTCCAGAGTTCAAAATTTTGCTAGAAAAGGTAAGGTCCTCGGCATTCATATATGACTTATTTATGTTGCAAGTGCCATAAAACTCTTATTGAACATAACATTTTTAAAAATATTCTATTATGTTTTTGACAACACAGACGACTTGATCGAACGGACGGTGCATACTGGCATGATTGTCCCGGGGCAGGAGTGGCATACGATTTCAGCCACGGGCATTTCCGCTTCCACCAGCTTCCGGTTGCGAGTCCGTTGCGATGAGCATTATTACAACACTACGTGCACAAAGCTGTGCCGGTAAGCACTGTCTGAACGATGCCGCTGCTGTTGCTGTTGCTGTTGCTGTTGCTGTTGCTGTTGTTGTTGTTGTGGTTGTGGATTGTAGGCGGGGGCTTTGGTGTGGCTAATTGCTCCTTCTTTCCTATTAAACATCTATCGTCGCTATCCCTCCTTCCTCTTTCTGTGTATTTACACTCTAATAACACTTCTAATCTTCAGCACTACAGTGTTGCAAGTGCCAAATTAAACTGAAAACCTGTTGCTGTTCTTATTGGTGCTACTTCTGCTGCTGCTACTATTGTTGTAATTCCTCCTATTGTTATTTGTGCTCTGTGTGTTATTGCTGCTGTTGCTCTTGTTGTCACTTTTGCTGCTGCTGCTGCTGCTGCTGCT